CAGTAGCATTAGATGTTACTGGGGTGTCCTGACATCAAACAAGAAAAGCATACTTCCTGGGAGATCACGTGTCTTCACCCTTATGTCATCTGTGATTACAACACATATTCACACATGAATTCAGACAACAGTATAGATTCTCATGTTCAGCGGCACATGAGGAGAAGTGTACAGATTGTATGAATGAGACAATTAAATCCTGTGACATAAACGTCTACACTGGCATTCTGTTGTTGTCTTCTTTCAGGAATATCGGATATGGTAAGTCTGTTTCTCAGGACCCCAGAATAGACTCAAGTCTTTGTCATTTCCAAAGGCCTGAATCTAGCCTAATGGCCTTCTACAGGAATGATCATTGACAACCCCCATACCAATTACTTGGTTTTATATTCCAACTTTCAAACTCTATGGAACTGAAAGCAAAGTGTTACTACCAAGGGAGTCTGTAGACACTCAAACCTCAAAGAATATACACATGGTTTGTGAAAGTCTAGGAAATCAGCCTTGTATGAGTTAGTAACTGTGTGGCAATAAAAATACAACCTGAAAATTCCTAATTTATAGAAAACCTGGACTTCAATGTGATTTCTTCCTCAAAACCAGGAAAGCAAGCTACGGTTTCTTATCATTTACTCTAGATGTTCTTTTGTTCAGAGAGAAGCATTTCATAAACATTTAACTGTGATTAATGTTTACAGCAGGGAGACAAAATGAGAGAACCTATTGTATTTTGTTTTGCACTTTTATCATCAAAGGGCTTTTGTTTCGAAAGCTTCTTCCCCAGTTTTGGTTGTTAGTAAATGAACATGTGCTCACATCTCCATAATTATGTTCACGTTTGACACATTTTCCTCCTCAGACCTTTTGTTTGGTTGTCACATAATCAAATTATGTCTTACAAGTGGGAGCATAAATAGAAGGAAATTTAGACAAGTTGCTTAGCCTCTTTGTAACACAATTTTCTCATCTCTCAAACAATTATACCTTCAGAAGTATAAACAACCTTTTCAAAATAACCCATTTCTGCCTCATAATAGAAACTGCTCCCTCTTACGAAATGGAATAAAAGGCTCTCTTTGTGCGCTCTCCCCTCTCTCTCTCTCTCTCTCTCTCTCTCTCTCTCTCTCTCTCTCTCTCTCTCCTCCCAAATACCCTCCTCCCTGACTTATCCCCCTAGAATGAGAACTAATTTATGCACTTGGTGAAATGAAGAGGTGCAACATTTATCAGGATTCATTTTAATCCATGCTTCTCTATTGGGCAGATAGGTTGAGCTTAGTGTCTACATGGAACATGGCCACCTTTACTCCTCTGTTTTCGTTGGAAAACAGTAGCTGTAATTAGTGCTGTTAGCCCTCTGATGTACAGGATGGCTCATTTATAATCAGGTTTACTTTGTTGTTGTTGTTGTTATATACTTCTTCAAGTCAGTATTTCTCCACATGGTGATCCAGAGGCAGGGACTAATTCTCATCTGTGGTTCTGAAGGTTCCTGTCTTAGAGGCGCCTACATCCCACTGTCAGAAAGTGAATACAAAAGGACCAAAGCCCCTCTCTAAATCTTGGTTCAGGAAGATGTATGTATTGCAGAGATTATTAATGAACAGTCAATCATTCCTCAGGTGTTTAGCCTTTTGTTTGCTTCATGTTTGGTGGGACTTAAGATAACAGTAATTTTCTATGGTATGCTTTTAAGTCCAAACTTAATATTTATGGGTCCAAAATCTACACCTGGGCCATCATATTCAGAGGCCTCTTCTGGATTCAAGGCTAAGTTAGCTCTCCAGTGTACCTCAGAGTAGAGCTGGAATTCTTGAGTTGAATTACTGTTCCGCCACTTACTATGTGTCTTTGTTTCATTCAATTATCATCTAATTGCCCCTCTTCTCTTTGTCCATTAGTGAAATGAATATAGTAATAGAATTATTGGGAAACTGGTATACGACATCTCTGAAGAGCACTTAGCAAATGGACAATGAAAGTGAACATGCCTTATTACTAACTGAAAAATGGTCTTGTTTCAGTGCCTCTCTGGCTACTGTCTACAGTTTCTCAATTGGGCTGAAATTTTAAAGAAAATAGAAGCCTATTTATGACTATCCTGGGACTCTAACATTTTCTCTGTTCCTGGTATATGCTGGAAATATGATAAAAAAGGAAATGTTGGAGTTTACCTATTATCATCCTCATCTTGGAGCCTGATTTAGGGTTTATATTTTGCTCTGTCTGTGGTCTCGGAACAGAGTGCCACGCTCTTCCCATTGGTAGTCTACGACCGACTCCATCAAGATGCTTAGATTTTTTTAAATCTGAATTTAATGGGCAGCAGTTCTTCATAGATGACTCTCTACTCAGTCTCTGTGTGTTCCTAATTGATGTTCAGCCATGCCTACAGATTTCCTATGGTCTCTTTTGGTAGTCTGCGAGCATGGAACACCATTTTGAGCGCTTTGCTCACTCTATTAAGAGCCACAGCATCCTTATCTGTTCCAGAGGAAATCTGTTGCTTTCCGCTTCCGTCTCTATCACTCTGATGTTCTGAACCACTTCTCCAACCTTTTTTCACTGGGAATGAGATCCTCACTCTCCTCACCAGGGACTCTCTTTTGCTAATTTTCCAAGGTTAATTTAAGCATCTCATTTACTTAAGTCGTAAGCAACAAATATAACAACTACCTCGGATATGTGATTTGTGAAGCCAAGCATGGAGAGGCCATCAGGCTTATTTACAAAGTGCTTTCAGTTTCACAAAATAGCCCATCATTCATCATATCATTTAACATCCAAAACTCTCTGTCAGCAAGTAGCTCCATTTCCGGACAAGCAAAGTTAGAGGTTGTTCAACTCCATCAAGGTCCTTGTGGGAGCCAGGATGGTAACTTGGAAGGCTTGATTCCAGGCAGAACATTCTTTTCGCCTAAACATCAACTCCTTGGGAAATGTTAAGCAGAAAGAACTTCAAGTCTGTGCTATACTGCCTTAATTTCCTTGTCTGCTCTCTAGTTTTCCCAAATCTTGGTGAGATTATCCTCTCAGAATTTCTATGAGGCTGACTGCGAGTGAGAATTAAATTATTATATTAACAGAAACAACAACAACAAAAAAATAGACCAGAAAAAGCAGTGGGTTAAGTCCTCAGAGAGAAAAGAGGGCAATGTATATAAACAATTATGAGATACTATCTTGTGTTTTCTTTTTGGTAATTTTCCATCTCCCCTTAGATCTAGCTGAGAAACTAGCCCAACAGTTGGTCTCTTTGAACTCAAGAGTTTGTGGGACTCCTGAACACAACTCCCTCTTCCTGTTTAAACTTGGAGGTGAAAATGTGCTTGATATTTTAAAGATTTTTAATATAAACTCATGGGATTGGTGCCTGTTCTCAAACATTTTCAGTTAACTGAATAAAAAAACCTAGAAAAAGTGGCAAGATATTAGGAAAAACTTGACAGATTTTGGAAAGTTCAACACTTGATTCAGTAGTTTGGGCACTCGTGTGGTTCTATGTCCCCAGTCATGACAGACAGTAGGACTGACAAACTGAAGAGGCTTGGAAGAGCTTGTGTAATGAATTGTCTATAGCAACCATGGTAAGCATGATGTGTGCCATTTCATTTGAGTAAGCATGACAGACATGTGAGTGAGTTAGTTTTCATTAGTATGGTGTAACAACCAGTGAAGGGGTGCATGTGTGTGGGAAAAAGGGGTAGACAGCAATCAACTGAGACAGAGACAAAGATTTAGTGAGGCTCCCACTTTTAGGACCTGAGTGTCCCAACAACATGGTAGGTCTCTGGTGGGGGCCTCCCCTTTCCTGCATCAGCCCCTGGTGAATTGTTGTGACAGAAGCGTACAGAAAAGAAAGGAATCATATGAACAGGAAGGCAGAAAGAGAAAGAGTTGGGGGTTCAGGGTTAGGGTTTTGTAAAAACTCACTCTCATAAAATTTGTCAGGGTCCCAGGAGAAGATGGTAATCATTTTCAAAGGCATGCCCTTATCAGCTGAGAAGCTTCTATGAGGCCCCACCTCCCAAAGATCTATGCCACCCCTCTACACAACCACACTGAGTATCAAGCCAATACTTGAAACCTGGGAGAAAAGCCATCTCCAAATCAAAGGAACACTGTACACTCAAGCCAGCCTTGAGAAGGAGAGGAGCTATTTGTTAATTATGAAATTTTTGTCTCTAAATGTCCCAAAACTCCAGCTAGATTTCTTTGAATTTGCTTGTAGAATTCCAATATGTAAGCTTTTGTTTAATCTTGTTATATTATGTGCTGTTATTATCCCTTAGAAATCTGTTTGTTTTCTAATGAGAGACAAAAAGGGGGTGGATCCAGATGGGAGAGGAAGTGGGGAGGAGCTGGGTAGAGCGGAGGGAGGGGCAATTGTAATCAGGATAATCAGGATATATCATGTGAAGGGGAAAAAAAATCTCTTTTCAAGAAAAGGAAAACAATAGTGAAAAAAATATTCCAAGGGACAAAATGATAAATCTTAATTAATCTTATTGCTATGGACTGAATGTTTTACAAGCCAAGTTGATAGCATTAGGAAATGGAGCTCTTGTAAATAATAATTAGGAAAACATAATTATGTCTTGAGAATGGAGGCTTATGAATGTGATTCCTGTTCTTATAAAAAGAACCCTGAGGAGTAGGAAGGCACTATCTGAATCAGATGGAAAACCCTTGTATGAGAATGACTCTGCTGGGACCTTCCACCTGGACTTCCTAGCTTCTAGAACTGTGACAGAAATTTCTGTTATTTATGAACTGCCTCGTCAACAACATTTTGTGATAGCAGCATTTGTTAATTCCCCTGAAGAATATCATTGGAACTCCCTGTGTAGCTAGTGGCCACCTGTTGAAACACTATGGATGAAGTGCCTTTTTTTTTTTTTTTTTTTAAGATTCTGGGATTAAGCTGTGCCACCTGTGGCAAAATCCCACAGGGTTCATGCCAGTCACCTCATTTCTATGTCCCTTCAGGATGAGGATGATGGTGTTTCTTATTTACTTTATTCACAATGTTAGTTACTTGTTGCTACACAAAATACCCGACAAAAGCGACTGAAGGGAAAGTGGGGGTTATTCTGGCATATTCAGGGAGTACAGTCAGTCCATCATGTCAGGGAAGGTCTGAGGGCAGGAACAAGCGATCCATGGTCATAGTGCATCCATAGTCAGGAAACAGAGAATGATGACTTCTTGTGTTAACTTTGCTTTTCCATTTTTATTCATTCAAGTTTTCCAGCCCATGGTCAGGTCGCATCCATATGTATGAGGGTGGGTCTTCCAACCTCAGCTAACCTACTGTATGTAATTCCTCACAATCGATTTCCATGTAGATTCTAAATCTTATCATGTTGATGGTAGAGATTAAGCACCCCACACACCCGGGAATATTATTTAGTACAGTTTCCTGAACATCCAGTAGACTGAATATGTGAACTGGTTTCATATTACACAATAACTCTGGGATGTTTATTATAGATATTTCCCTATATGCTGTGTTATGTTTCTTGTTTCCATGAAAGTTTGTTTGCCGGGATTAAATGAGACCAATCTCCCAAAGTCATTTTATGCCTGTGAGAACCACACTTTTCCGAAGCCCCCTCTTATTCATTCTGAGTGGAATTGTTATTTATTAACCAAAGCATAAAGAAGTAGATGAACTTTTACTTGCTTTAAAGCAGTCAGCAGGACATGAAGCACATGGGCGCTTTCCATCTGCTTCTTGATCGCATATGAAATTCTGAACGTCCTTCCTGTGAGCTATGGTTCTATTCCAGCATCTGGTGGTAGGGAAAAGGAATGCATCACACTCTGGTTTATGTTTCCATTTTAGTTACTAAAAACAACAACAACAAAAAAAGGATAAAAATAGGAAGATTGTGTGTATAAATAAGGAACTAGTACGCTTCTCTCCACCGTTGGTACTCATCACTCCCTAATAGAGTTAACGATGTAACATATGCTACTAAGTTCAACTTAATCATTGAAGCCAAATTTTTCTTTTCATTTCTTTTTTTAAAAGTCGATGTTTAAATTGACACTTTGATTTAAACTACCTCCCGTGGCAGTAAGTACCATTATTCAGTCCAGCAAGCACTCACGATACACCTAGTGTGTGCCAACACTATTTGTGGAATTAACCGTGAGTGAAGAAAATCTGCTTTATTTTTCTTCAATCCGTTTGAGTACTTCCAGACTGTTTGCGCTCTAAACAATCTTGGTATTCAGACTGGAACTGCAGAAAAAGTCCAGCAGTATGTGTAGCTTAACTCTGAGCAAAACAAGTGTTCCTTTTCCTTCTCTGTCTGGATATGGAAAATATATCATCTTATTCTCTAAAGAAAATAAAAGGTCAAGATTCATTTGTGATCAGCATACCCACTGGGAAGCAAGAGTTTTTGGTATTCCTCTGCAAGAACTGTGTTTTAGGCGAAATAGCATTGCGCTAACAAAAAGTGTTCAGCGTGTACTGTTCTTTGTGCGTATGAGAGAAGTAACAAAAGCAACTGGTCTTTTGTGTTATCGCCGAGAGGGTCTGGAATGTGTGAGACATCTTAAACACTCAGCATCAGTATAATCAGGTCGGCTCGTTCACATTCTTAGCTCAGCCGCAGCAGAGTGATGGAGTATGTTAAAATAGAGTCAGAGCAGGTGGCAGTCCTTCCAAGTGATGTCATTTATTTATTTGCTGTGCGCTGAGCTTTTGCATTGGTGATGGATAGAAAAGTTGCCTGGCTCTTCTGATGAAGCCTCTCAGGCATCAGAGGTAAGGGCTGTCTTAACCGGCTCATCAACACAATCATTCCTGACGGGGAATTGTGAGGGCAATGAATGTAATTGAAGCTGCAGGGTGAGGGAGGCAGGGTACCATCCTGCAACTTGGAATACAGCCAGACAACTGCGGCTCACACTCCTTTGTGGAAAAAGAAATGTATCACTCCATAGTGATGCTTTGTCTCACCTGAAGGACCTTCCTCCCCAGTCATCCTCTGATTCTCTTCATCTTATCACCATGTTTTCAGTTTATTTCAGGGAACCTACAGCTAGATAAAAGAATGCCAACTTTTTTTTTTTAAAAAAAATATATTTTGTATAAAAGAAATTTCATTGTTCATAAAACTAGATTTATATAGGATACCTAAAGAGCAGAATAGATGAGATAGCTGGGTTATTGGATGATGAGGGGATTAAAGGATTTTTATTTTACAACTTAAAATTTTAAAGCAGACCATTTGAGAATGGGAGAGCTAACAATCCCGCTTGAACAAAGTGTGTTTATAGAGCAGGTGTTGCGTGAAGGACCGGTGCAGGAAATGAATGAAGTTGTCTTTCAACGTTTTTATCTCAGCGGAATCTTAGGGAGCAAGAAGCAAAGTGGATCCTGAGCCAACAGATGACAAGAGGGCTTCTTCCTTTCTCTGGAAAATATGATGATTAAAAACAGATATCAGTTGTCTTTTGAGTTTTTTCTCTGCTGGACAACAAAGCTGCCAAGAAATGAGGATTCACAGATGGTGACACACACATCAGCCTCCCACAGCCCTCCCAACCAGGCACCGCACTTCTCCAATTCAAATGCAGGAGACGTAGCCTCAAAGAGAAACCGTCTTCTCATGTGAAATGCTATAGTCTATGAAGGAACGAAGAAAAGAAGAGATTATTTCTGTGACGCCTTTTAGATACTAGTTCAAACTACCTATTGGTTGGTAATCAGAAGCTCATATAAATATTAACCGTATATATAAATATTAATCTTACTTTCAAATGAAACCATCACGAATGACAAAGATTGAGAATAGCAATTCAGACTAAGAACAAAATAGGTGTTAACTTGTGGTTTTGACCATATCCCATTTTCAGCACTTGTAATATAAAATGGAGCATAAACCTGTCCCTAACATGTGGAGAATCCAAAGCAAGGATTCAATGGAGAGCTACGGTCTTTCAGTTCACAAACTGATCTTTCCGTCTACCATGACAAATAAACTTTCTTAACACATCAATTAAAATTTCTATAAAATTTCTTTTCATACATAATTTTTCAGAAAGCGTATTAAATATGTTCTTAGAACCAAGGTGTTTATTAATTTGCCTTCTTGTAATACTAATGATTTAAAGAACTAAATATGGTATTGATATCTAAAATATAAATGTGAATTTCTTTAGTATCTTGCTTTCCATCCATCGTTCTTTTCTTTTCCTTTAACCTTCCTTCATTTCTTTGTTCTTTCCTTCCTTCGTTTGTTCGATCATCCCTTCCTTCCTTCTTCCCTTTCCTCCCTCCCATCGTCTCTCCCACTTCTTTCCTTTTTTCTTTACTGTGGAGCTCATGTAGCCCAGGCTGGGTTGAAACTTACTATGGAGCAGTGAAGGAGAATCTCGGAATTCTGATCCTCTGGCATCTTTTGACTTCTAGGATGACAGATTGGTTGGTATGTGTCACCACACCTTGTTGATGCAGTGCTGGGGGGTCAAATTCAAGGCCTTGTGTGTTCTCAGTGGGCACCATACCAACTGCAATATACCCACCTCCAACCCAAAATTTGAATTTATTTTCATACAAAATTATGTAAAAAGTTTCAGCACTTAAGTTACTTTATTTTTAAGCACAGTTGTATTTCTTCATCTAGAAAATATACCTAAGCAATAACAAATACAGCTACTTTAATCAAAATCAAGTAAACATTACTAAATAATTTTATAAGCATAAGTCAATGTGAAGAATAAGAACCCCTGAAGTTTATTACTAAACCTACCGATAAAAAAATTTAAAAATGTGCTTCAGTTGCTTTGTCCACCAGTTTAGAAGACTATACTAAATTTGTGAGCACCGACAGACTCATAAAAGGAAACATATAAAGGAGTAAGGCTCCAGGGGACTACAGCAGCATAATATTGCTGAGGGTGCTGAAAAAGCAGTTACCGTGGAAGGAAAAACTACCTCAGTTGTTGGGTGACTTCATGAAGAGATTCTCTTGTAGTCCAACTGCCAGCATCCAAAGATTTGCAATGAACTTGGGCTTGCTTCCAGTAGTTACAGCAATCTAAGCAAATTCAATCTGCTGGATGGGCACCGAGCCAAAGAAGTCCACAGGCACCAGGCTATGCTAAAGTCAAGAGACTAGGGGAACCGTGGTTTGAAATTATATACAGCAGGGCCTCTTCAAGTAGTGAGATGGTCCAGGTAACAGAGCTCAGCCTCCATAGACAGCCCTGGGAAAACTCAGCAGGCTGGGCTGCTAGGTATCCAGCCAAGAGGGCTTGGGTGCAGAGCAGTGCTCTACATCCAGATGCCTATTGAAATAGAGAAAACAAAGCAGATGTATGGATATATGCATACACCCAACTAATGCAACGAGTGTGAGAGGAATGCCATGATTCAGCAGGCAATACAGGAGTGACAAGAAGCAGGTGGACCCTGATCCTCTCCACTTGCATGATGAGAATTGCTTTTAGCTTGGGTTAGGGATTAATCTTTGTATATGGAAAGGGCATTAGAGATTATAGGTGAGTAGCACTCAGGTAGACATGGCTGAACAATATTATAATGGGGCTATGGTAGGAAAAATCTTTTAAATGCACATATGGATTTCTGAAAAAATGACTTGGGTCAAATATATGGATGAAGTTTAATTTCACTTTTACTGTGATGATATTTTGACCTTCTATTCATGGAAAAATTTTGCATGAGATAGTTATATAAGTTTTTGTTATGAATTTCAAGTGGAAGGACAGGTAATGTTAATTTTGAAAAAAATAAACGATGCATCTCAATTTCCTTGAAACTGTGGTGGACAATGCTTCTTCCAGAAGACAAGATTATTAACCAGAAATCTCAGTATCAGGAGTGGGACACCTCTCTATAACGTATTGGTTAAGGAGGCTCCAGAGACCCCTGTGACAACACAGGCCATTAATATTTCTCTTGGATGCCCACCTTAAGGAGATAGTAAGATGCAGTTTCTGAAGGCACTGTGGTCTTTGGACACAGGCTACAGAGAACTCTAGCTGATAATAAACGGAGAGATTCCATCTACCAGCTGGCGTTCACTGTGCCAAAGGGCCTATGTAGGTTGTTAGGAGAGCAATCATCAGTGGTCTTAACACTGCCGTGGGCCATACATGCTACAATACCAAACTCCCATTTCGAGAGAGGAAGTTAATGTGTAATACTGTAAACATGGTAAAAAAAGCCCATGGCTAGGGAGGTCATAGGTCCTAGTGGGAAAATCTGCTACTATTATTTTCTTGATAATGAACATGTTGCCAACATGCCTTCCCAATGTCTGTGTTTATATCCACAGATTCATCTTACTGTTCCTCTTACTCAGCAGGCAGCTATTAATTCAGAGTCTTATAAGCTGAGAATAAGTGACCTGAGTGCTCATCCCCAAAAGGTACATCTCTGTCACCACCTCCGGGAACATTAGGGAAGGGGTGCAGAAGGAAGATAAGAGCCAGATGTTTGGGAGGAGGGTCAAGAGATGCTGTCTTCTAGATGTAATGTGAACTCACAGCAGCTGAAAAAAAAAAAAAAAGCTTCCACAAGATCAAGCCAGTAAACTTTCCAGTATGGGTGGGGAGAGGGGTTCATGAGACCCCTCCCCTAGTTGAAGAGCTTTGACAGCTGATGGTTTAAGGAAGAGGGGTGTAGTTCCTGGTATGTTACCCATGTTCTTACTGGGGCTTGTTGTTGTTTTCAATTATTGGCTCGAATACAGACCAGTGGTCCTTATTGTGACATTTTCATACATGTATATGCTTATAGGTTGTTCTTGTTCACACCTCTGCGCTGCCCACCACATCTCTAGCTTCACAGACCTGTGCTTGTGATCATATTCACACCTCTCATCGCTCTGTTTGTCAATAACTTTCGTGGTGTGTGTGTGTGTGTGTGTGTGCATGTGTGTGAGCATGTGTGTGTGTAGCTGTATGTGCATGTGTAAATCAAAGTTTGCATTGGTTTTCTTCTTCTATCATTATTCACCTTACGTATTCTTTCTTTGTTTCTTTTTTTTTTTTTTTCTTATCTAGCAAGCAACAAAGTCTCTTACCAATTCAGCAAGACTAGCTAAAGAGCAAGCTCCAGGGCCTACAACATCCCACCAGGCTTCTTATGTGGGACCTGGGGATCCTAACACAGGACCTTATGCTTATACTGTGAATGTTTTAAAAGCCACTCACGGGCCGTCAAGAACCTAAATCATCATATTGTCTGAGGTTTTGTTTCATTTGTTTGTTCAAACTCCCCACCCCTCCAAGCTGCTGGCAATTCCATTCTTCCTGCCCCTTTTTCTGTGATGTTCTCCAAGCCTTAAAGAAGGTTGTCTTAGTCACTAGTCTATTGTTGTGAGAAGACACTGTGACCAAGGCAACTTAGAAAGGTTCAGATTTAAATGGGGCTCGTTCACAGTTTCAGGGGGCTTGTTCATGACCATCATGGTGGGAAGTGTGTTAATAGGCACACAGCGTGCTGGAGAAGTGCAGTTTGCTCCAAGCTTCTTCCTGGTGACTCAACTGCTGTGGGATGGTCTGTATGTCAAATGTGTTGCTGATTGGTCAATGAATAAATCACTGATTGGCAGTGGCCAGGCAGGAAGTATAGGCGGGACTAACAGAGAGGAAAATTGAGAGAACAGGAAGCTGGGAGGGGAGACACTGCCAGCCGCCATCAGGACAAGGAAGATGTAAAGTACCGGTAAGCCACAAGCCACGTGGCAAGGTATAGATTAATAGAAATGGATTAATTTACGCTGTAAGAACAGTTAACAAGAAGCCTGCCACGGCCATACAGTTTGTAACCAAAATAAGTCTCTGTGTTTACTTGATCGGGTTTGAGCGGCTTGGGACTGGCGGGTGAGAGAGAGTTGCCCTGACTGTGGGCCAGGCAGAAAAACTCTAACAACACTCAACAATGGGGGGAGGAGCCAAAATGAGTGGGCAGGGTCCTTAGGCTTGTGAGTCCAGAAACAGCTCTCAGGGGAGAGTGTTACAACTCCACTTTATTCCAGGAAGAAAGAGGAATATAAAGGCTGTGGACAGTGACAGGGGCATCACCTAATTTACAATAAGGAGCACGTTCCTATCATAAGGCTCCTAGTATGTGCAGCAAGGGAGCCTTCTAGCAGGGCCTATGTCAGGGTTCAAGCTAAATATGTCTGTGTGGTTTAGAGACATCTTTCAGATGTCTCCATGTCAGGGACATCCTCCAGAGAAGGCTAGGTAGAGAACAGGGAGCTTTGCTGGGGAGGGAGGAAGTTTGCACATTGCCAAGATTAGAAAGCAAGCTGCCAGGCTATGGCAGACTGCGACCTCTATCAGCCAGCAAAAATCTCCCAACAGAGTAGTTGAGAGTTCACATTTGATCAGTAAACTGAAGGCAGAGAGAGAGACTGGGCCTGCCCACCCCCAGTGACACCCTCCTCCAACAAGGCCACACCTCCTCCAACATGTTAGACCATATCCCTCCAACAGGGCCACACCTCCTGATTATTTTCAGTTCCATCAACTTTGGACCCAAAATGGAAACATATTTGCCTATCCCAGGGCCACAGAGGTGATGTAAATGTTCTCTTTAGGGCTGAATATTCAACAGTCACTTATTCTCAACACCTTAAGCAATTATGAATCTCAGTATTAACAGCTACCTTCTACTACATGAAGCTTTCTGACCAAGTTAAATGGCAGGACTAACTTGTGGATATAAATGTAAATATTTAGAAGACAGTTCAACAACCTGTTAGTTTAGAAAAATAGCATCAGTATATAACCAGCCAGGGCTTATAACCAGATTTACAGCAGGACTCAAATCCAATCAGAAAGAGATCTGTTACCCCATGCCCATAACAATCATGCCATTATTGTACTGGTAGGCACTTCTTGCTTGGCAAGTTGATACAGTGTGAGACAGCTGATGACTTTTCTTTGAAGCAGCCTGCCTTGCATAGCTTTATGAAGCTAAATCTATCTAGCAGGGAAGAAGGTTCTAGGTCATTTCCAGTGTGATATCTCTATTTTCTGTTTCCAGAGTGTACAGTGTCTTCAGTCATAGGGTCTCACCATCCAGTTCTGATAGACAACCGAGAGGGATGCCAGTAGTCTATATTTCCTTGTGGGCCTCTGATTTTTTGAGACAAGTTCTCACTGTGTAGCCTTGGCTGGTCTGGAAACCTGGCAATCCTCCCATTTCATTTTCTCAAGTGCTAAGTTTACAGGCATGTGCTACCATTCTTAACTACCAAATCAACAATGTTGTCTTTATATACACAGGAGCTGTGTAGTAATTTAGATTTGGAGATGTTGTGCTTTAAAAATGAGCAATAATAAGTGAACCATAAGAAGTTGGAATCATTTTTACTCCTTTCCTCAAATAACATTTTAGATCCAGTGGCTGACTCAAGTTAGGAAATGACTTCTTTTAGGAAAATGCTTTGTTGGAAGATGTATTTTGATGATATTTGGGAAAACAATTTGACTTCCACTGCAGTTTCCTATTATTTTGTGACGATATCCTTCAGAAAAGAACTACTCAATCTTCCTTTACAAATACACTGTTCTCTAGAAATTATTCTTTAGCAGTCAGCGTCTTAAAATATGTGTTGAATCTGAAGACTGTTGTGCATGTGTTTAAAAATATGTTTGGTATGATAACTTTAAAAAATACACTTATACATAGTAATGCTTAATTCAAAATATGACATTTACACGTAAATGGGTGGAACTAGAAAATATGTTAAGTGAGGTAACCAAGACTCAGAAAGACAAACAGTGTCATGATTTCATTATCTCTGCAGCTGAATAGAATTCCAGGGTGTATATGTACCAAAATTTCATTATCCATTCACCAATTGAAAGACCATTACAGAAATCCACAGCTTGTTAAAATTATGGAAAACAACTGACTGTAGGGTACCTAAACTCAGTTAATACATCTGCAATGAAAACCCTAGATCCAAAGCCGAGGAAACATTGGGGAACATGAAGCAGAAAGATTGTAAGAACCAGAAGAACAGACACTTGCTGTAAGGTAAGAGTCTTCTATATATGGTAGGGAAGTTGTGTACCCATTAAATCTCAGAAATATGATCAACTAAACAAGACATGTCCACTGAAAACATCGGTTAACTTGTCAACATGAATGGGGTTAATTATCACAAGACTCTACCCTAGATGAAGAACCATAGGCAATTAATGGCTTCTCAGAGAGGGAGAATCAGTCTCTTCTAGGGACAAGCCCTCTGAAAGGGCATCCAATTCAAGCAACCAGTCCTAAACACACACACACACACACACAC